ACTTTTATAAGAATTTAGTGGCCAATCAGAACTCTCTTCACAGAGAAATTTCTAGTCAAATTACATCATGCAGTCAGTGAACTGAGCATGTGTGTTAGATCAGATTACCTCATACTCTGTGATTGACAAGCCTCCAGGTCACCCAGAGGGCACATACTGGGGGCCTGTCTGTAGTTTCAACTCCCTGTAATGGCAGCACCAAACTTAAGATTTTTCCTTGACAGAGGCATGTGATAGAATCTGTAGGTTTCTCCACAAAGAAACATTGGGAATGAGAACAATAAGAAAATTCAAACTCTCACTGACAGAAAAAGGAGTGTCTTCAAAGTGTGGCAGAATGACATCAATTCCAAACAGAAGTGTGAGAGCAGGATGCTCTAAGAAACCTGGGGCTGGGGACCCCTTTCATTTACCAGAAGCAAGTGGCAGAGTCTGGTAAGGGCTGGAGACTCCCCTTATGTCCCTGCAGAGATGGCAGCAGCAGCAGCCCAGATCTCGTACACAGCCCCGCTCTACAAGGTCCTACACCCTGAAGATTGGGAGCTGCCAGAGAGCTGCCAGTGAAACCAGACATCTAGCAGGACTGGGAGGGGAAGTGGAAGAGGCACTCATGCAGCCACAGGAACCGTGCAGCAATGGTGAGCTGGGGACCAGCGATAGAGCCAGTGGTGGATGAGTCTTCACAAGCCAGGTGCTCAGAGGTGCACCTGGTATGAGGTACCATAATCCCAGGAGCGGAGGATGGGATGGGTTGGCCTCAGAAACTGCAGTCAGGACGGGCTTGGAGACAAGGGAGCTCTTGTCCCGTGCTGATCTATGAGGGGGGGCACATAACAGAACAACGAGCAATGGTCTTAAGTTGTAGCAAGGGAAGTTTAGGTTAGATATTAGGAAAAAAACTCTCATTGGGAGGGTAGTGAAGCACCAGAAAGGCTACCCAGATGGGACTTCAAGGGGCTTAATTTGTTTGATCTACACTACAGGTAATTCAGTTAATGAACTCATAGAGGGGATGAACCTAGCTATAATTTGAACTAAGGCACTGACCCCTGTGAGTATACTGCTGACAAAAGACATGATTGCGAGATCGCAGGTGCTTTCATTTGGAGACAAAGAAATGACAACATCTTTACATCTGGCTGGTGTGTGGATGGGGTAAAAGGGAGGCAGAGCCCCGTAGGGAAGATGCCTGCAGGACCTATGTACAGAGCCTTCTTCCACCAAGAAACCTCCCTCAAACTAAATGAGAACAAGACGTGGCAGGCGAGACAGGGAAGGTAGCTCTTGTGTAATGAAATGTGGTGGTGTTCAAACTGTTAACCTTAAAGACTTCAGGGGCTTAGTCTCTTGAACAGAATGTCTCAGGGCACTTAGGTACCTGCTTCTAGAAGAGCAGAAACTGCCTGGGGAGAGCCCAAAGAGCGAGACAGGAGCCTTGGTGCAGGTTGCCATGGCAACCACGTAATGAGGGAATTAGCCTGCACCTGTACCTAGTCAGCTGGCTGGAAAAGGCAGGGCCCTGGGCCCATATAAACCCCTGGATGGTGACTGGGGGCAGTTCTATGCCGGTGGCCAATGTAGAAGGAGCCCTCCTAGAGTATGTGAGGGAAAGAGGCCTGCTCAATTCTGCTCCTAGTAATGTAAAGGGGCAGAGCACACCTTATGTAGCTTGTGTTATGTTATAGCCCAGGGGCTTATGTTTGGTTGTTGTTTTATAATGCCAGTGGTTTGGGAGAGGCTATTGGGGAAGGAGGAGGCCTCATTGGTGCCCTGCTATACGGTGGGGACCCAGGCACTAGAGAGGGCACGGCATTTGGGGTGCACAGACCCTGGTGCCAGAGAAGGTGCGGCATTTGGGGAGTACGGACCCTAGCACAAAGACAGGGCTGTGGACAGCCCAGCGCCAACGGGCACAGAGACAGAGCTGCAGAGAGCCCAGCGCCGAGGGGTGCAGATACAGGGCTGCGGAGAGCCCAGTGAGGACAAGGGGCCGAGTTGTAGCAAGGCCTGGGAGAGACAATGGCAATACCATCTGCAAGGCTTGGGGTGTGGTAAAGGGACGGTTTGGAGCCACGCATATAGCCCATAAGGCTGGGGTGTCCTGTGACAAATATTTCTGAATGGGATTCACAAGGGGTCTGGGGAACCCATGGGGTTCCGGGAAGTCCATCAGGACTGTGTCTGACTGGGCATGAAGGCAGCCTCCCTGTATCATAAATACATCAAGACGTGGTGGGCGAGAATAGAGGGTGCCCATTGGGCTGAACTGGCATGGTCAAGGGGCCCTGGAGGTAACATGGCCATCCTTATGGTCAAGGGGCCCTGGAGGTAATATGGCCATCCTTAGGGACCCCATCCCATGACACAGTACAACATCAGACCTATTTAAGGCACTGCTCACAAGAAGCAAGACACTTATTGCCACATTAAAGCAGAGACCAAGAGGAAAATCCGAGAGCAAAGAACTAGTGGCTGGAGGAAAGAGCAAGAGAGATCCAAAAGTTTGCTGACAGCCATTCTTTAGAACACCACAAAAAATGACAGGCCATTATTAGGCTGCGATTAATTTTAATGAGACCTGCAGTTCTTATGGGCAGGAGGTGTTGGATCCCGTATTTGGACAGAATGTTTTTGTAGGAAGAATAAGATGGATTATCTAAATCAGTGGTCTCCAAACTTTTTTGATCGCGCACCCCTATCAGTAAAACATTTTTGAGCACGCACCCCCTATGTAAATATAAATATAAATATAAATAGAAGTTCTAATATTTTCTTCCCGCACCCCAATGGATCATCTTGCACACCCGCTGGGGTGCGCACACCCCACTTTGGAGACCACCGATTTAAATCACCACTGTGGTCTTGTTCATTCTTTGAAGAAATAAGAGGAAAATTGATTTTTCCATTAGTGAAAATTTTTAAATATAGGGTTAATGAAGAAAAAATATTTGGCTTTTATCTAACAGCTCAGAGCTGTGTGAGTGCCTCTATACCCAGTAAGGGTATTTGCATTACTTACACAAAATTAAATAGAGTTCCCCAGTTTTATTTTATTGTTTCACTGCTTCATTTTTATCTGTTTTTGTATTATCATATATTAATTTTGTTTAAATGTTGTTCAAATGGATAGAATGCATAATCTTACTGCATGTTTTTAGCAAAATTACAAATGATATAACTCCAATTATTATATTATACAATATATTTAATTATATTGGTTATTTTATGTACTGTTTTATTGAAAGCTGTAAATAAACTATATAAAATACTTAACACCTCAACAAGATGAAGAGGGCTATTCAGATGTCTCATTCACCTTTCACTAGACTCAGGGAAACATCACTACATCTGGTTCACATTTAAAAATTTCCCTCACAGCCATTAGGTCTAAAACTTCAAGTCCTTTTTAAACAAAGAATTTATATTATGGAATTACAGCTATGTTGCTAGACACAGATTTCCATGTCCACACAAGCACCAGCTATACAGAAACTTAAATATAGAACACTATTAATTTTTTGTGTCTCCTGTTGATCTCTTACCTCAGTGTCAAGCATTGGTTCCAGTCTATGCGATCCAGAAATCTGACACTTCAGCATTGTTGTAGGTGAACTAATTAGAAAAATAAAACACACATCTGCCTTAAGACTAGCATTAAACTTCAGAAATATGTACAACCAATTCTGATTTAGTAATTTAGTAGACACTTCTTCCCCACATCACCATCTGTTACCATGAACCATAAATTTCTCCTCCTCTTTACTGTCTCCATAATTTTTAATGTGCAATAATTAGACTGCACATTTGGTTCAGAATGTGCCTAAGAGTTGTGTATCTTAGGCCTGACCTATAAAGGTGAATTTATGCATTTATTTTAAACTCAGAAATAGTGAAATGCGTACAATCTATAGCATGGACAAAGTTACACTAAAGTAAAGGTACATCTACTGGGATAGCTTATCTCCCCAAATTTATGAGAATAAATCATTATTGATAAACAGCCTTTTCCAGTGCAATTCCATACACTCTTTATTTGGTATAACCAACTCAATTATAGCAATTTCTAATCAAACCAAATATGTACAAAATTTACCCATCAAAAGGTACTAAATACATTTTAAACAGTTGCTTATTTCAAATCCTGAATTCATTCTTTCTTTCTTTCTTTCTTTCTTTCTTTCTTTCTTTCTTTCTTTCTTTCTTCCATAATAATATTACATTTTTATAGGACTGTATCTATATCTATAGATGTGTGTGTAATTTTATTATAGATATATACAATCTATATATGTGTATATATATAGATATTGATATATAATTATAAAACATATATGTACATATACATACACATGCTACAGCTAGATCTGGACAGGTTACGGATGAGAATGGGATGCGTTTCAATAGTAACAAGTGCAAGGTACTGCACCTGGGGAGGAAGAACCAGCAGCATACCTACAGGTTGGGGAACTCCCTTTTTGTCAGTGCAGAGGCAGAAAAGGATCTTGGAGTCATCATTGACTCCAAGATGAACA